CATCCGCTAACATTGAAAAGGCATCAGCCCCTTAATACTATATACTAGTTGGTTGGTGTGATACTAGCTATTCAATGTGATAATTCTTATCTTTGTTAATATATTGCTAAATACTTTATTAAGATAACTCAATTAGAATGAACATTAAAAATTATTAATTTTTAAAACTTCAGTTATATGAAATTAACGAAAACAATAACTTAAAGTTTAAAAAAGAAAAGGAAAAAAGACTTGATGCACAATATTACAATCCTATCATATAACTGTTACTGTGACAATAATAACTGAGTCAAATAAATACCATATAATACATTTCGGAGCAAAATTTAGTGCTAAACGTACAATACACGTAACTGTAAGTGACCGATTTATTTGCTTTAAATAATGTAGAAAAGAATTGAAAAAAAACTCTAGATATATTAATTTGTTTGCATGAAGCAAAAAAAAAACAATAACAAAAAACCCCAAAAAAACAACAATGAAATATCATCATGAACCTGTTTGGCAAAGTTCTTGTTCTCGAATATATGAGATGTTAATCATCAAATACCATTTACTGTTAATACCAATAATTAAATGTAGCTTACATTTTTTCCTGAAGCAAAGTAACACTTTTGTCACACAAATGTAATAATTTTGTCGCAACGACACTAAATATCAAACAAATGTACTGTTTTTGCAAATTGTAAAAACATCGTTTTGACAGGTTCATTACCTTTCATTTAAATGAACTTAGAGGAATAATTAATACAGTAAATGTGTTGATGTTTGCTCCACAAACGGAACAAAAATGGCATTTAAACTGTTTGAAATATCCTCGAAAAAACAAATACTTGTTTAAAGGGTGAAGGTTCAAATATCACAAATCATTGATATTGTAAACTAATTATAATACTTACTTACAAAATGTCATAGCCAGAAAGACACTATGTTTGATATACGAGTAATATATAACTAACCACTATTTGCCCACAAAATACTTTATCGTGTTGATTTTAGTTTTAGATAACAAATAATTGTATGGAAAAAAAAAAAAAACTAAGGAAATATTGAGTTTTTAAAGTAATCGTTTATCGAGAGAATACCGTTGTCAAATTAGAATGTTTCTGCTGATATTTGAGAACTAACACGCTCTAAAAACTGACACAACAATAACAATTTAGCTCAGATATAAACGGTTTGCTCACTCAATCCTACGTTTGATTGGTGATGATTACCTTTTCTTTAGAGTATAACAATTATCCGTTGACAGTTAACATCAATCTTTTTTTATATAAAGAAATTGGGACTTTCAAATTCATCAGTATTTTGTTGCAGAAACGACTTGATAAATTGTGTTCTTAAAGATTTCTGTCCGGAATTAGGAAAAATGTGTTTTTGAGACACAAGATATACTGATAAATGTTGTAAGAAATGTTCTATTTAAACTGCACTTCAGTGTTATTATATCTTTCTGGTCACTTGGGATCCATTTTTCCAGCACTTATTAGTGTTGAAAATTGTATACAGCTCAAGCCGCTACTAGGGTGCGTGAGGAATGTTATAAATTTTCATTACCCTTCATGTTCAGACTGAATAAAGCCGGGTCTGCAATTTTTATGAAATATTGTTGTGATAAGTGCTTTTAAGGGATCAAAAGTTTTTGATTTTTTATGTTTAATACTGCTTGAACATTTGTAAAAAAAAATTATATATAAACCTTATGTCAGCAAAATACTTCGTAGAATATAATATCGCTAATTCCTTGAATTCCTGTTAACTAAGTAATTCAGTGTCTCAATTTACATAACATAGTGGCATCTCTTAGAATTAGTTATCTCCATGATGATATAAGCATAACAACCTTCTAAAAATACTTGTCCATCTTAAAGGTCATTGATGTAACATTCATATTTTGGTTTGACTTTAACATATCGGTAGCGTAGGCTAAGATAAGTATCTTGAATAAACGTCTGCATAGCACAATGAACACTAGTGGTAAGGACCAATGAGTACAGGTAGAATAACATCGTTACAGGTATGTACTAGCTGTCACAACTTAAGATAATCTCCTGTTAGGTTGCTAGTTTGTAGTGTTTATGACCTATTAACATCAACCGTATTATCTCTAAGCCTTAATTGCTTTACAATGTTATTAAGCTGAGAAATTAGCAAGATTAAAATATTCGAACGATAATTGATGTTATGATCACAGAAGCATTTTAGAGATTTTTCATTATTGATATATCTGTATTGAGTAATACGTTTAAAGATTCTATCAACGTAGAGTCTTTGATGATATGTTACTATTAAAAGCAATGTTCAAAGGCATTGTATGCCAGTGTATGCAAACATGAGTTTTAAAATGACTAAATAATGGTTTTAAGGCGAGCATGTTATCTGCTGATCACCTGAAGAAAGAAGTGCTAAATATGAATTATTTGTCATGTAAATAACAAAAAAAAACAAAGTTCTATTTTGACTTCCATACAAAATAATATAGTAATCACTATAACTTTACTAATTGATAAATCGCAACAGAAGTAAAGGATGATTCAGGTAACTGGCCAATAACATGTAGTCTGTTTATGGAAACTATAACACTAAAAATAAAAATATTTTCAGAAAAAGAAAAACAACATTTTTTAAAGCAAAATTGGCTTTTAAGTCCAGACACTACACATTTATTGAAAAAGGTTAATATATTTAAGAAATAATATATCCCAAACAGTGATTTTATCGCTCAATAACATCACTGTTTGGAGTTCGGATGCGAGGAGTTATATCACGAGGGCGTAGCCCGAGTGATATAATGATGCGCATCCGAACGACAAACAGTGATGTTATCAAGCGATAAAATCACTGATTTTGGTATATTATTTCGATTCTAACACGACATCAACAATATAATGTTGCCGTACTTGATAGTTAAGCAAAATTGCGCCTGATTTGTTTCCGTACTTATTTTCAGCGCGCCGGATTTTTAGTGGTTACGTCACGTGTATAATGATTACGTCACATGTCTAAATATAGAATGTCAAACTGTGCATCTGTTGCATAATAACACACACTTTCTGTTCTTCTATGTTCAATAGGGAAAAATGCGGGTCGTGTTAGAATTCTCTGTTATACACATGTAAGAATAAGGATTACTATTAATGTCAGGATTATGCTATAATTAATAATGACATGAAAAAGACATGAACAAAAAATAAAACAATTTAAGCTTTGACATACTGTCAAGATTCAAACGTCGTATATTGCATATGTAATATTTTCAAAAAACATTTTAATATCATTTACATTGTATAAAATAGAGATTAAAAAGGAAGTCTTGTAGTTCTTCCAACATGGCAAACTCGGTTTGTTTCAGCCTGTCCTTAGAAATACTGTACTGTTTTTATTAGTCGACCATCTTTAAAAGCTAGGGAAGACGATATAATTGTTAATGTGTCAAAGGGATTAAAATAGATGTTAAGCTATCATCAATTTCGAGCTGAATTGGGTATGCTTAAAATATATAGAGCCATTCTTGTATAATTTAGTTTGATATGGCTTTTATTAGTTTAATTGCATATAATATATTCTATTTATAGTACAGTGATTACGGCTTCATACTTTCAAACTACTCTCCAGCTAATTAAGGGGTTCTTATATGGATCCTTGTATCCATTGTGAAATTGTTGATTGATATCCGTTGTGTGTTTTGTGCGATTTATGACTGTCTTTGCAGTATTTTTCAATATATTTCTAGTGAGGGCTATTTTTGCAAATTTTGGCCTCTTTGGGCAATTTACATATACAGGTTGTAAGTTCTGCGTGCAGTGCGAAAATTAGTTTCTTTGTTTACTGTCACAATATTTTACTTTTCAAAATATCTTCATAAAAAATAGCACGAATCTGGAGCCGTGCCGCTTTAAACCCTTTGAAGAAAGCTGTAAATATGGAAGCTTTTGACATGACATATCTACACACGCACATACACACATATTTATTTTTATATATAAAATCATTCTTAAACATTTATACATGCTTGCTCAAGGTGCTTTATATCCAGTTGAAAGTAAATGTTTATGCCTTAGATGGTAAGAATTCATACGTCAAAAGATGTCGGAGGGAAAAGGTGGTCGCCGATAGCAATGGAAACAAATCCGTTGAAAATCGCAAGCTTGGTTTTATGATTCTGTCTAGGAAAGATTATTATACATCTAAACTTTCAAGTTTTACTTCTTGTATTTTATTGTCATTTATGAAATACCCGTTCATAATCTGGACATGAACACACATCAATGATTTGAAAAACTAGCCCCTGACCAAAAAACTAACCCCTGACTGTTGGAAGTTGGAATCCCGATATGGACTTAGATTCTTTCATGTACGGAACTATCCAGCTAGCTTACGGAACTTCGGTAGTTCTACTCAGTTGCCCTATCGTGACTGAAATAATGCGAGGAAGGGCGACTGAGGTATCTACCACCATCAAAGCACTTGCTGTTACACATTTAAGATGAGATGTTCATCTCATATAGTGTTTATGGTCTTTGACAGACATGTTTTAATTTCAGTAACATTATCTTGAAACATAATAGGTATTACAATGTCAGTCTGCTTGAAATGTTGCTAAGTTTACGGAAATATTTGCCATTCATACAGACGCATTTCAGGGATTTCATCTTCTTTTTACGTCAGTATAATGTAAATGTAAAGATATTTTAACACTATGATGGTTCTGAGAAACTGTTGATAATACGATGATGTTAAGACGTCTCACTATCGTGACAACAAACAATCTGCATTTTCCAATTTAGATTTGAGATTGAAAATGTTTTATGAAAAATCACCATGTTGATGGTGCACTTATTTATCATCCCCCATTAACAGATTCATCCAAACCTAGTCTGCAATTTTCATGTAATTTTGTTGTGATTAATGCTTTCGATGGGTCACTCTGTGTCCAGATTGAACAGCGTTGGTATAACGACACAACACTTAATAACAAATAGCATTAATCATTAAAATATGTATAAGAGATAAGGACTCCAATGAAATATCTAAGATTATATTTCTAACGTGAAAAAATTATTAAAAAAAAATTACATTATTAAAACACATTGTCTGATATGTTTATTTATTGATTATATACATAGTAAATGTTCATGTTAATGCGGATCGGTGAAATACGATAGGCGTAGTTTCGGATCCTTCACTACCATGATTATGTCGCCACGTTCAATATGTGGATGTACAGACATCAAAAATGTGTCAGAATTAGTGGCAATTAGGTTAAGAAAATGCAACGCCCATTTGACTGGCGAATGACGTCGACATTGCTTTACACTTTTATGCCGGGCTATGTATGTTTAAGGGATAAATTTAATGTTTGTAACTTTTTCATGTTTTTTTCATGTCTTGTGAAAACAAACCTTTGAATCGGTCTATCGGTCTATTCCACACATTTCTACGATAAAATCTCATTGAATATATCGAAGTAGTAAAGTAATAGCCCTCGTACATGTAGTAGTAGAAAGCATACATTTGAAAGTCGTATAATTGAAAAATTAATTAGAACTGAATGTGAGAAAAACAGAATCCTAAAGAAAGCCTTATACGGCAAATTGAAAACGTCGTAGGCTCGGTTTGAATGAGCTTGTCCGTGTGCAATAATAGTAATTGCAAGTTGATCAAGCAAACATTAACATAAATTCTCTTGCACATTTTATCTATTTCTTTGTGAATGGTAGTTCTAAAATCAAGTCAACACATAATTTCATGGAGAAAGTTGCCATCCGGAAAACGTCGGTTGAATGGACTGGCCACTGTAAGCAGTGCAACCTCGACCTGCTACACGTCTTATGAAAACATGATCCCCAGCGTTCACTCTGGCTAGAACAAGACCAGATGAGGGACTAAGCAAAAGTCTTCGATCAGATGCATCCGATACCGTCCATCCTTGAGTCGCACCATTAACTACAATTCCAGTGACAATATATTCAGCATAATCAGCAGCGAATGTCCAAGTAAACACGTATATTCCGGATTCTGGTACAATATATATCCCGTCATGCTCATTATAGCCATTTCCAATATCTAAAACTTCCGTGTCGTATTCAATAATTTCATGACCATTGAAACATTTGCTTGAAGAAAAGAAGACATGAAACGCAATCCTTTCTGATTGTAATAGTTCCTCTGAAATGAGACATTTAAATATATTCATTTACCGGCATTTTATATCTAATTTAAGTTGGTGTTAAAGGGATACTAAGACAAATTAATGACAAAAATATTCACTCAAATCACGCTAAAATGACTTTTTTTAAAGTCCCAACATGAATTTCTTTATAATTTCTTTATATTTTTGGTTTGAAGCGTAAGTTGATCTAAATATGTTGAAAGGAATTTAGACGCCGACAGAATCACCGAGTAGTTTAAAAAAAGTCATGTGTCTTAAAAAAAACCCGTGGAAGTTACAACAGATATTTCTGGAAGTTACAATAACAGATATTCTGGATATTGTACAATTAAAACAGGTCTAAGTCATTCATTTCATATATTCTTTAACGTTTCAAGAGTTCACTGTGACAACAACTGTGAAATCTTAACACTCTAACTTGGCCCACGTGGGTCAAGTTAGGAAACCACCATTTTTATTCTTAATAAGGAGAAAAGTTTTGTTCCTGTGACTGCCTAGTGTATTCATTTTGATGGCATTTACAGTATAATGAATAAAAATTAAAAACGAAGAAATGAAAATTTTGCCTGTGTCTCCCTTTTAGGGTTACCTTTCGGGATATTCTGTAAATGTGATTATCTGATAAGCAATATTTTGACCGGGACAACATGGTGAAACGATGTTTATCTATGTTTTCACATATTAAGAATCATGTTTACCTACTCATATTCTATTTTTAACAAATTTACATTTGAAAACTAAAACTGATACTGATGATTAAAATCACGTTATTTGATCTTGAACTAAATATAACAACAGCTCATTTTGTAATTCGGCTATGAAGCGCCGAGCCTTATATGGTTGTAAGACGCATAATTCATTGCGGAATGTAACGATTGGTTTTTCAAGCAGTACATAAAAGCATTTACATGCAACAGCTTTACACTTCATGGCCAATTTCAAATTTCTAGCTTTGTTGCAAAACATTTTTATATACATTTTCTTCAAATTGAAAGGCAATGTTTTCTTATCTCCGTATACAAATAATGGCCTGTGCAACAGTCTATCGGTGTAAGAACTGTTGCAATTCACTGTGACAGTCGTAAAACATCTAATTTTTTCAATATATCCATTTGTTGACTTTTAGAAACAAGGAAACAAGTTCGTTTTGAAGAAATATCTCTTAAAGTTTTGTATTTTTCTTTTGACATGATTTGGATATTGTTGTGTGTGGCAAAAACTTAAATAACTGCCATTTATATGATAAAGCGAGGTCACACGTGTGCTGATTTATTTTGGTTGGATTCGGTAACGGGTCTGGTGCCTTTAATGTTTTATATACTAAGTTATTGCTCACATTTGATTCTGAAGTTGATGTTTTATCCTTGATCATATGATTATTAAAAGTTTATATCTCGTTTATTAAGATATGATTAATTAATGTTCAAGGCATTATGAAAAACCATTACGAGCAGCATTCTATATAATATATAAATTAGACACATGGTGTCGGATTCCTGGCACATTGCGACATTGACTGAAACAAGTACTACTAGTACGGACGTAATGGAATTTTCGTGGCGTAAAGCTACACCTTAAATTTCATCAACTGCGCAGATCTAAATGGACCAGGTCACATTTTATTCGGCTCTTCTAAAGTTATGCAGTGCACAGCTGACCATTCCTTCGCAGCAATTTTTCGCGTGTGTAAAACCTCGCTTGTTTTTTTAAACGCATTTATTAATTAATTTTGAGAAACATGATACACAACTTTCTAGACAGTAAATAAACTATACTCTTCTATCAAATTGCTAAACAATTAAGTCCAATATCGTGAAATGCTTTACATTATGTCATTTACGAGAGTTTTCATTTTGCTAAATAACTAAACTAACCAGTCGAAAAAATATCATAGTTTCGGCCAAGAAACTTCATCGGTTTGAGGCGAAAAAGCAATCCGGCCAGCTAATAGGTTCGTTCTACACAGCGGCGTATATAATAGGTGCCTATCAAGATATTATCATGTTTCTCATGTAAACGGATGCATGTATTTTAACATTATTATCAATTTACATATGAATGAAACATAACTTACTTTTAAAAAAACTTGCAATGGCTTCCCCATTTTGGTCGTTTTGAAGATTTGGCTTGTCATGTCCATCCGATGTACCTAATTCGTTGCTTTTATTTAGACTGTCAACTGTTTCATGCATTGCTGTATTAATGCCACTTTCATAGTTAAAGTTGTTATTTATAACAACTTTTTTAAGATTCGAAACGTCTAGTTCCATTTTTTTCACGCGGCTTTTTAGTTCCATATTGTCATGTTTTAATTCTGTATTGTCATGTTTCAACTGGAGATTTGCCTGTTTCAGTTCTATATTTGCCTGTTTAAATACATCCATCTCGACTTGTTGTTTAGCAACAATTATTTCAAGAATTTTCAAACGTTCTTCAACAGAACTGCCATTAGCAAACACTATGCCAGAAATTAATAGAAATAAACACAGCATAACGACCAATGAGATGGAATAGGTACACTTAGGCGCTAAGTATATTTGGGATATTTTGATAATGTTAAATGCATTTATATACATTTTTGGCAAGGCTTATCTTGAGAATTTTAAAGTGTACTAGTTTATAGCCACCATTGTGTTTAAGTAATGTGTAGCCATGTCAAAAAAGGCCGAATCTTATCTTTAATTTAAAATTAATTTTCTTTTCAAAACTAGGTAATTTAAAAAGAACCCAACATAAGTCGCCAACACAATGTTATACAACTTACACATGTAGGAATATCACATAAAAATGATGTGTTATCTTACACAAGAATTGTGAACGTAGAACATGAAAACATGGATTTTAGCGTACTAATAACATGTTATAAAACACTGTTTCATCAATTTAAAATGTATGTTTACATAGTGAAAAAGATAATGGTAATACAATGTCAAAATACTACTTTGATGGTTGTGTTTGTTTATAGTTTTGTCATTTATTCATAGATTTAAAAAAAAATAATTGAACTACTGAGAATATGAAACAAGAATTATTAAAGTTTCTATATTATTGAAACACCCTTTTTATAGCAATCATGCCGTTGAATCAAGTCGTCTACTTGACCCTGATTGGGGTATTTGTATGAATAAAATTAGGTAGAATTTGTCAGTTTGTTTTGAACCGATTTATTTAGACACTATCTTAGAATTAGTTTTCCAACACTGCTGGAAAAGATTTTAAAGTAAATTTATTTGATACTGTTTATTTCAACATTATTTTTCTTTTGATATATATATTTTTTATATAGTTCTGATCCTCATTCAAATGCCTTTAATACTGATGAAGCTTCTGCCATGGTGTGCGAAAGATGTTACAATTTTGATTATCTTATGTAATAATCAGATAGAAGCTTCGTGAATGTTTAAATGTCCATGTCTTATGTCGGGTTAATCTAGTATATGCTTCGAATGCAGATAAAGGTTACCCTACTTACTATTAGTGATTTGATCTATACAGCCAGCCGCAAACATTCACACTTATGAAAGGCTTTAAAGTAAGCTGTCTCGGAAATAAATTCTAAGCGCCTCCCAGGATTTTTTGTTATATTTTTAAACATACTCTCACTATATAGATTTTATCACAAAAAAGTATCTTTAAACGACCCCACGAATTATATCGCAGTAACAGCGTTACATATATATTCACGCAGTGGAGTATGAATACCATTGGTTAGATTGAAATGTGATAGATACGAGTAGAAAGAAATGTGTTTATGTGAATAGAGATAAATGTTCTTCTGTTTATCCTGAACTGTCATTTCGTCTGACAATTGCCTTTATCTGCTTTGTGTTAAATCGCCTTGATTTGGTTATATATAGCTTTAAGTGTCAAGGGAAATAATTTTATACACTTCTCATTAACAAAATTGAAGGATATATAGATATGTGACTGAAGAATGTTTCAGGCAGGATGATTTAAGATAAAATACTTGTTTTATTTTCTTTTAATAATGTTGAAGTGTTAATTTATATTTTAAACAATGTATATTGTTTTATCTTGCCAGAAGTCGTTTCCCTAAATTTGAATCTTTATTTTCTAGAGAAATGTTATCAATTTCCCAATGGAGTTTGTGTTCATTTTTTACCTCTTATATAATAAAGTTGAAATTTTTACATACTCCCTATTTTGCTTAATATCTTTAAATTTAAAAATATTGTTTTAAATGATAGAAGTTGTAAGATACAGCATCAACTGCTGTTACCATCTTCTTCGGGTAGGTGCAATATTCATTGGGCGTTTCGGCGCTTACCACAACACCCTCCTGTGTTTCGCCGGCTGGAGAGATATCAAGCTCTAGCCAGGCGATGGTAGGCGTGAGCTATCCCTGCTTCATCTGTCTTGAAGCGGGTACTGCCTAACTATTGGTCTTTCGACCCTCCATCAATGCATGGCTCTTCTTTCTTGCGCCAGATTCACAACGAGGCTGACAGTTAATGAAACATTACCAAACCTCTCCTAACTGTACGTAAAAAATGGCACTATAATTTGCTTCAATCGGTTGATATGCTCACGATTTGTAACGAGTTGTATCGGTAGCTTAAAATCGCAAGCTTAAAAGCTACGAATGATAATTTATTAAGGATTGATTTACATAATCTTTTACGAAAATTTCTAATATTGGCAATGTCAAGCTTCTATAGAGATTTAATAGTAACAATTATTTGAAAACCAGATTCTCATTTTTCTAAAAGAAGTGTTCATGATTGAACAGACAAAATGAACGAGATGTCCAAATGAACATTTATACAGTTTCTGTCTAATAATGAATTGGAAATCATTTCACTAGGATGAAAGTAAAAATCATTGAAAGTTTTCTTAATTCTGAATAAAAATCTATTCTAAATTCTAAGCGTTAGGTTTTGAAAATGTCTGTAAATCCAAAACCGTACAGTGTTTAAAGTTTACATACAAGTGTAACACATGCAACTCTACTTAATTGTCATATTGACACTTATAACGTTTTTCGTAATTATTATTGCTTTCTTCACTGCTTTTATCTCGTTCAAACTTCGTCACTATTAGCTCCTTGGATTCCGTAAAAATCAGCCAATACCGCATACATATAATTTCCAGTCATATTTACACTATAACTTTAATTTTCCTTCATTATTACTGCTTTCTTTACTGCTTTCATCTTGTTCATCATAACAGATGTAATTGTTGTTCGGCACACTATTATGACCATTATCATTAAAGATTATAAATCTATATCTTATGAAATATTTTTGTAGAATTTATCAACAGTAAAATTATATTGGTTTCCTTATTATATGGTTGATTCCCGAAAAAGTTGTAACATAAAATGTCTCTGTTATTTAACACTCATGAATAATGTACGTAAACAGAATAAAATGTTCCGGAACGCAATATTATTTGACTATTTCAAGTAGGGGTTAATCCGGTTAGCAATAACTGCATGCATGCGCAACTCGCTTTAAGGCAATTTATTGCCATTTTTATTTCATACAAGCATTTTGGACGTAATCTTTTTTTAAAATCCAAACAACAAATTTTGCATCAGATAAATAGCTTAATACACTTTTAATTTTGAGATTTAGACTTTTTTCTGTAGAGTGGAATTCATTAAATAATATATATATATCATCTACTGAAAAGCAATGTTTAGGATATAAAAAATGATTATGAATCAAGAAAGATATATAATTGGTATACATTTTGTGTTTTTTTTTTGGAAATTCAATAATTTCTATTTGAAACAATACGTTGAGAAGAGCAGCAAGCTTTATCAGAAACTAAACCTGTAATACTGAAAATATATAATGGGCATGGCTTCCATTCTGACTTGGAACTTGGAATATAATAACTTTGGTACAAACCCTTTTCTTCTATAAGTATTCTTAATCCATTTTGGCTTTTTCGAAAGCCAGACAATAACATGATTATTCATGTTTTAAGAGTATAATTAAGTGTATGTATAACCAAATAAAACACTACAGTTACTGATATTATCATCCTGCCATACGCATCATTTACAATTGACAAACAGGCAATAGCAAAACAATGTAACATTAACGTTTCAAAACGAAAGTTGTTAAAACAGTCGCATAAATGCTCTAATGTACACGTTTTCTATATTTCAATTGATCTCTCTACCTACACGAACACTGTAAACTGGTTCAATCAACATAGCGTTTAGCACTTCAAGGTAAGGACGGTAAAAGTTATAAATAAACCATTAGGATATGTAATGCTTTAAATACTGCACTGATTGACAGATAATTTTTGCAGGCATGAACTAATATAAGCTCTGGTATATTTTAATATAACGATGAAAGCTAACGTGACAGGGAAGGAGATATAATGATATTTCATCCGACCCTTAACTTAAGTTATTTAGTGGAACGTGTCCTAAAGAGAGATAATAATATTACAAACATTAACAAGATAGATCCGGGCGTGCTAAGTCATACGAAATATATATTATGCGAAGTTCTAAGATATCTCTTATTTAATAGTAAACAGATTAACCCTGTTAAGACAATCAGTTGAATAAATTTGTGTTTGAGAACTTTTGATGTATGTTATAAGCTAGATTTGTCAGCAAATATCAGCGTGGAGCTTTCAGGTTTTATTTCTCTCTGCATCTTTATGAATACATGACAGAATGCTGTAGTCACTGGAAAATTAAAATTTAATTCGACTTGATACAGCCGTACTTTGTTAGTCTTTATTGAAAGATCACGGGCAGAGATAATTGCCCTTTATCTGGTATAAAACTATTCTGATGTGCTTATAGTATAGGAAAATAGAGAAAATAAGAAAAGAAAAAGATATCAAATGATTATTCACAAACTAATACTAAATAGGTATTAAATAATGGTTATTGTTTTGAAATTCTAAATTGCGACACAATTGTGCAAATACGTGTGGAAAAATCCATTCCATAATAGGTAATGTAATATTGTAATATCAACATTATAAAAGATAAATGTCACATGTACATTGTCTTGCCATTGCATTCATGATTGTTCTTAAATATTTATGGGTTGAATCCTACTGGCGCGGAAAACTGGGTCTTTTTCTCTCATGAACAGAAGCACCTTTTCGTTTTCATTTCACTCCATTTTCTTACGTTTTTTTAATAACAGTCTCAAAATCCAAAAATATTATAAATGAAAGAAGAGATAAGAGGAGTAGGGAAAGAAAGGGGGCGTGAAGAAATGTCTGAATTTCTTAAAGATGATAAAAAAATCGACTCTCGTGTCTAATAAAGTGCAGACACAATATTATCTCAGATACATTACGGATATTAAATTTTGTAATATTTTATGATCTGTGAACAACATAAGGTTAAAAACATTAATTACATATTCTTATGACTTAGGAACTTTAGAATCATTATGCCAGACTTCCAGCAGCAGAAGCTTACACGATGAAACAACTTTATGCCGAATACATTTTTTTCGATGTTCTTTAGTTTATGTATATATGTATCAACAAATTTTGTCTTCATAGAATATCACCTTACACTGTTTGCT